AATGTGTCGCTATTGAATACTCAAATCCTTGCTCGATGATATTGATTCAAATTGCGACGACGGTGGATGGCTGAGGGCAAGTACGTTCAACTTTTCATGTTAAAAAGAGCGTTATGCAACTTCGATTTACTAAAAGCAACCATCTGCACTACAGAGATGTTGTGTGAAAGATTTTTTGTATATATTGCTTTTTGAGGAAAAGTGAACTATATGAAAATCTGTTTAACTGCCAGTTTATTGATGTAGACTAATCTTGTTAAACGTTGTATCCGATTATAAATTTTCTTTAGATTAGCTCGCTGGCGACGTACACCTTATAGGCCGTCTTGCGATTGTGATGATTTTAAACTATTTCGGTAGAAAGAGTACATTTGAAAAAAGAGAGTCGACCGTTCGGTTCATCATGTCAGAAAAAACCTGTTTGCTGAAAGTCTGATTCAGCTTGAGTGAAGCTTACTTGTTTTACTTAGATACATTTGAGAGTGGGACAAAGTAGGAAGTGAGACATTTTGCTGTATTTTTCAAGTTTTTCTCTAGGTAAATAACTTGAAGCGTCGATATTTTTATTCAATGTTTTCATCAACATTTAACATATATGGTTAAAAAAATAGAGTCTACATGTTACGTGGTTTGACCGTGAGAAAGGGGCGGGCAATTGAGTGTCACGCTCTAACGAACGGCAGTAAAACCTTCACCACACCCAAACAAAACGGGACAGAAACTTGGGCTTTTCACCGGTGGATAGAGGACATGTTTCTGCGTTTTCCGAAGAGCAAAAGCTTGGTTACTTATCGACTGAGCAGTAGATCCAAAAGAGGATGAGACAACTTTTGACCACAGTTTCAAGAAGTCAGTTTTTACAAAAACCAAATGAATTTTTAAGCAAAAATAAGATGAAAGATGATCAGAAGACCGTTTATATCAAAGATAAATCCATAGTAAAATTAACAATTGGAGACACGAATCATTTGGAATTGTTCACTCATTTAAGGATCTCAAAATCTTCTGCCCTTTCAACATCGTTCTGCCTTTTTCCTTTCTGGGAATAGGAGAAAATTACCCGAAGAAAGAGAACACATAATTACCACTAAAGAACAGAAGGAAAAAGAACGAAAAATACGTGATATTACTCACTGCGTATGAGTGGCTGATGATTATAAAAAAATTTTTAGCAGCAGATATTGAGTGAACTGTGTTGAGTAACATAGTAATAAATTCAAATAGTCTCATTTAACCATAAAGGAGAACATAGGTGGTCTATGGCTTGAGTCCACACGGTACAATGTTCATCAGGATCACTCATATCTATATGAATATCCAGTCATGTTCCATTGTGTGACATCTCAAAAATAGTATATTTTCCTAATGAACGTGTTGCACCATCTCGAAATACCATTGAACTGATGACCGTTTGTATCAAAGATAAATCCATAGTAGAATTAACAATTGGAGACACGAATCATTTTGAATCGTTCACTCATTTAAGGATATCGAAATCTTCTGTCTTCGCAAGATCGTTAAGTCAGTCTCCCTTTATTAATTAACTTTGTAGCCGGATTCTCAAGGAATCGATTCATACAAAACAAGTGCCAATTATGCCAGATTTTATCCATATTATAAATAAGACAAATCTTACAAGGCATTTTCGATATAAAATGCAGTTTTCGATAGAGCACAGCAATCCAACGAGCTACTTTTTTGATCATGTATCTAGCATGAAAGCTGGTGTTTCGGGAGTTATTTGTTTCAAAATTTATAGATGAAAATAATTTTCATAATCGCGTCATAATTATTTTGTGTAAAAAATGACGTTCCAATGAAAGCTGAGACTATATTTTATTCAAATGAAAACTTTGAGAAAAACTTTTTTGTATCGATTTATTAAGCGTTTTCCACTCTATCTCTCTGTGTACATAAATACTTTTTCATATCAAACGTTCGATATAGTCACGAGTTAAAGTCTCGCCGGAGAAAATTTAGCAATTTTTTTACAGCCAGTTTTTTCATGAAACTATACACAAAACTTAATTTTATTTATATTGAAGATAAATACTCAGAAAGCTCAGATTTCGAGCTACAAATTACTTATCGTACAGTTATCAAAATCTATCCAAATATGTAGCGAAGAAAAAAGCTTTTCTTCTGTAGACGACCCCCATAGCACTCTATTTTAGTTACACCGAATCCATCCAACCGTTCAGACCACCTTCGAAAACAGTACGCTGGTTATGCACTTGTCTTACGAAGGAACCTTGCCAGCTGATTGAAGCCGTCTGAGCTTTATGTTTTGCTAATCTCTAGAGTCAATGATTGTAAGAAAAACTCTAACAGAACTTGTGCTCTTGCACCTTAATTGCGGAGTATTAACCAATTAAGTTCTGTACTAGAGCTGACCAAGTCAAAGCCCGGACAATGCAGTATTTGTTGACGCCCTTGGACTTGACTTAGAGTCCACACATTTTTTTATCAAGCCAGTATGAAGTCCAGTTAGAATCTATCATATTCAAGAATGAAATCAGTGTAATCTTAAATGTAATATGATCTCTTTTTTGTCAAACATGTATCTCATGTATAATAATGCCTAAACTTTATGTACCAGTCGTATACAATTATCACATTTATTGTGTTTTTAATTATACAGGTATCACTAAGGCTTCCGTTTACCAGATGTTATAAGTTACTAAACGTTTATTTTCTTTGTGGTGTCCCAGCTTATGCAAAATAAATTTGAACTTGAACTTGAGCTTGCACATTCGTCAACTGGGTGATTAAGGAGACAGGAAAAAATTAGTTTAGCATCGGAGGCGGAAAGTGAAAAAGAATGGTGAGTATGAGATAAAAAATACAATAGCTGATGTGTAGTGAGTAACGTATAGACAGCCGTTCTTAATAAGAAAAGGTGTAAAAGCTTTCCTTCTGTCCTTGTTCTTTTCCTACTTGATAGATGTTTTTTCTATATTATCATTTAATTATTTATCACAATCACAGATACCGCATTTCGAGGTGAAAGAGGAAACAAGAAGCTAAAGAACAAGGTTATTTGCTTTTTTGAAAGCAAATTACATTCATTAAATTTGATGGGTATCTAGTATTAAACATTAACTCTCTCTCTCCCCGCCCTGTTCGCACANAGATGAAACACAGATGTATGCCACAAAGAACTGTATACTAAAGAAAGAGCCCAATTTCATTTGTTGATAAAAGTTTGATAGAAACTAGAATTATTTACACAAGAACAACAACTAACATTTTATTTAAATTGTAGAACAGTACAGTGCTAACAACCAGATGTTTCTTCCCCCTCCATTACTCTAAGTTTCGACGTGTTTGAGAGAAGTAAAGGAAAAAGAATAATTGTAGAAAAGAAAAGAATGAACGTTAAAGCATATATATAGAAGCGTATGTTCATCGATGTTTTTGTGTACCTCATGATGATTCAAGTTATCAATTGGAAGTTTCTGCATTTTAAGTAAAATGTTGGTTATTGATCTCATCCAAATGATTATGGCTTAAAGGAAGACTATAGATGGCACTATTGCATTGGTGTTCTAATGCTAAAAGATATTATTAAACGCTTGCTCTACAATCTCTCCAATTGATTTTAATATGAACGAATACCTCTAGTAAATGAAACTGCATACCTTTGTTTTATATGTAATAGTAGAATGAGTGACGTGAAAATGGCGTGTTTTAGCTACAACCCTAGTGAAAGTACTCATATGATGAGTACGACTTTACTCATAATTCGTCTATGAGTACTCATATTAGTACTACTAACAATTTTTGAGTATTGTTACTCATGTGAGTACTCAGAAAATATTCACTCATCGCTTTATTTTGCTAAGCTGAAACTGTATAAAGAGCGTAGAATTTAGCGACGAAACATAGAATATTTATATTATTATTTTCTCACTGGTCTCTCTGTATCTAGTCAGTGATGGACTCGTCTATGACTAGACTTGTAGTCCTATTCTGGCTGCCTGAGATCATTCCTCTATATGAAAATATAAGATGAACAATACTTATGAGTATTTTGTCAAAAGTTATATGAGTACTCAACAATAGCCAAGCTTGCGTATCCAAAGTCGTACCACAGTACTCGTTACTCACTCATGAGTACTCATCTGAGTACTCAATGAGTAAAAAAATGTGTGAGTATTCATGAGTACTCGGGACATTTTTCAGCAGAGTACGACTTTGAGTACTCACAGTTTTGAGTACATTCACTAGGGAACTGAAAAGCTTTGGTGATACCTCCACTAAAGACAATAAGTTCTTTTTATCAAAGTACATGAGTTTTTTAGTTTTGACGAAATGACTGTTGGTAAGATATTAATATCTCGAGGTTCTACTTCGAGCACTTATTGCATTTTTACAAACCCGTTTTACGTTAAGAATGTGGAGTAACACAGAATGGGGTATCTTTTTCCATATTGCTGATGAGTTAAAAAAGTTAAGATAAATTAGAAGTCGTTGAATAAAGTCGGGCTCAGCCTATGTATTTACAAGTCAGTGAATCTACTTTCCTGCACTTAATTAATTTTCTCGAACACAAACTGGTTTGTTCTCTCTCTCTCATATCTTTTTATCACTGCGCGATATTTCTTTTTTAAAATGTATGATAAAACGCCAACGTGGAATACCTACAAAAATACTATTTATACTTGAAGACAAATAATAATTAATTGCTTCGATCGTTGTCTCCTTCTTCCTTGATATTGATTATAGATTTGGTAATGAGAAAATATTTCGTTACTTCTGTCACAGGCACTCTCTCGTTTTCTCTTTGAAATTAATTAAAAGTGTATTAGTTCGTTCTTGTATAAAAGCTTTAAGTCAACGTGTGTTTTAGTTTCAGTATTTATTTCACAATCTATTTGAACTCGTCAGGTAATAATGAATTAGGTTTAATACATTGATTTTCGCCAACTAATTCTCTACTATGCACAAACTTAGATTGTTAAGGTCAACATATGGCTGGAACAGGTTCTAGAGCGTCTATGATCGGCCCAGCACTTGCGATTGGTGGCTTGTGTTTATTGGGTTTGATCGGTTTAGCCATAGCTGCCATCATTATTCTTGCTCTTATTCCGACATACACACAATCAAACGCCACACAGGGAAATGGAGAAGGTAAATCGTATTTTATAGCTGGAGACGCGTGGTTTCAATGTTAGATGTTGATTGTTATTTAATCTACAATGTTTTTCTCTTAGAATATCGTATGAATCAGTTGGTTTTACGGGCTCTTACAGACAGTGGTAGTGCATCTAATAAAAGTATCGCTGACAGCAGTGCTTTATCAGCAGCGGTAATTTAGTTACGAAAAAAGTTATAGCAAGTAAAGTGATTATATTTCTGCTTTTTTAGTGTACAAAAGCGATGCAAAGCGGTGGTGATGCCAGTTTTTATGCTTGTGTAGTCACGAATATACGCGCGGCAAATGGTACAGCTGTAAATGCTACAACACTTCGAAGACGAAAGCGATATACAGCTAGTCTCTTTCTAATCTGTACTGCTAGAATATTTTACAAAAGTCGATGTGTGGATGCCCCACCGAACAGTGGTTACAACCAAACAAATACAAGTCTTAGTTCATGCCGAAAAAGACGAATAGCTAAAATAAATACCATATTGAATTCAAACTCAACTTTTGACAGTACTGGTCTGGTTTCGCAACTGACCTATGCCGATGGTACTACTTTTGTTCTGTATGGACTGTACTTAGTTAGATATGCACTTTATTCCATGTATGCCGGCATCAGTAGTAAGTACAGTTTCATCCATATTTACTTACAGCGGAAATAGACTAGTTTGTAAGCGATGTAGAAGGAAGAAGTGTTCTGATGCGACTAGATAGATAGTAGAGAACGACCACGAATAAAATCCAATCCTTCATGACATAGTGGAAATAGACATATAACGTTTCATTTTCTTCATTTGAAGCTAATGGTGTTTCTTACCTCCAGCAAGTATCCCTTGCTTTTATTAATGCGTTAATTGCTTCTCAAACAACAACTACCGCAACATCCGCCTCCACCACCGTTGTAGTGGGTTAAAACCAGTGATGATCAAGTTCGTTCTACGATTATAAACATTCATTTTTCATTAATTATTTTTTCGAATCTTTTGAAACTGCCAAACTAATTATTTTAACCAGATTTTCTTTCTCAGTGAGACAGAGAAAACATCCCCAGATGTCCCAAACACTACGATTTCTTTCCATAATTTTTCTTAACAATGCTGTATGATTTTCGATGTAGGATTCGGGTCATTAGCAATAAAGAGTGTCTTTTATTATCGATTTTGCAGGGTTGTTGTAGTTATGGACTAAGTGATAAAAAGTATTGGATACAGAATATTCTCGTAAGTGCATATGAATGAAATTGCAGCGTTACCAGTTTCGTATATTTCGTTGATGGTTGCAGTAATTCATCAAACTCTATTCAACCCAAGCTGAGACTGATATAGTGAATAAACACACAAAACGAAATGATGAGTGATACGTGAAGATCACTGAAAGACGTGAGTCTGTCATGACTCTGATATTTTGTTGTACCTCTAAAATGCGAGTAAGACATCGCCTTACTCATGATTCTGCGCCTTCGATGATTCTTGAAAAATCGATTTCAACCGATTTACACTAGATCCAGCAACCAATAGAAACTAGACAGTTAAAGCTTGTTATTTGAGACATATGAATAAAACTAACTTATATTCTGTGATCTCTGTTTCTCTCCATGACACAGAAAACACAATCATTTTTCTGTTTTGTTTAGAAAAATGAAAAAGAATGGTGAGTATGAGATAAAAAATACAATAGCTGATGTGTAGTGAGTAATGTATAGACAGCCGTTCTTAATAAGAAAAGGTGCAAAAGCTTTCCTTCTGTCCTTGTTCTTTTCCTACTTGATAGATGTTTTTTCTATATTATCATTTAATTATTTATCACAATCACAGATACCGCATTTCGAGGTGAAAGAGGAAACAAGAAGCTAAAGAACAAGGTTATTTGCTTTTTTGAAAGCAAATTACATTCATTAAATTTGATGGGTATCTAGTATTAAACATTAACTCTCTCTCTCCCCGCCCTGTTCGCACAGAAACTTTGATTGATTAATTTAAGGACAAGGATGAGAAAGTGTGAAATGAGTTATGTTCAGGAATGAAAGATGAGACTTCCTTGAGAAAAAAAGAAACCATATACATGTTTATTGAATAAATAGTCATGCATTTCTACAGAGGTGTGTCATCTGGTGGATCTCATCTACATACCTACCTACACGAAGCAATTACTTACTCAAAGTTTACTAATTAGAAAATCGAAGCAGAAATTGTGAATTAATATTGAAACACCTTTGTCAGTGGAAAGATGCTCGTTATTTATGCTATCAACCATGACTATTCAAGATGGAAATGACTAAAGATGAAACACAGATGTATGCCACAAAGAACTGTATACTAAAGAAAGAGCCCAATTTCATTTGTTGATAAAAGTTTGATAGAAACTAGAATTATTTACACAAGAACAACAACTAACATTTTATTTAAGAGACGATTTGTGAGCGCGTCGATAAAATCGATAATCTTTGAAAAATAAATTGTTATTTAAATATGATTTTCGGATTCTTCATGCAAAGCTACCTATAAATCCAACTTTCTAGCATTTGAAAACTTTTCCTTGTTGAGAAAAAAAACTGTTTAAAAAAGGTACCAACAAATTTTCTTCACAAGTCGAAGAATTCTGTATTTCTTGTTCTATCAATTGACGCAACATTGTCATAAATTTGATTTTCTTAAATTGCACATCATTCGAATGAGCATAAAATATTGAACAAAACCTGATATTGTGTAATAGTCTGGAACATCATTGAATTAAGTTTTGTGGTTATAAACTCTTCGTGTTTTAATTTATTTAACAAAATTAGATTGAAAATTAAATACAAAGACGTTTCGGAAGAAATCTACTTCCTTCTTCAGTATAAGAAGAAATAGTGGAATGGACGAATAACAGGACGATAGAACTGAGACAGAAACGAAACTACTCTTACGTAATTTCTTCTTCGTCCGTTCCACTATTACCGTCACGTTGCTCGTAACTCTTTGACTGTCTCTTTGATCGTAAAAATTCAATCTTCTTTTTGATTTGATCTGTATTCTTATGCAACAAAGTATCCATGCCTGATCTATATCATTATGTCTGTTTATGGATTTGTTAGTAATTGAATAAATGGATTCTTTAACACGTCTCTTCCTCCAGTCTATCTCATTATCAATGACAAACGTATTTGATGGTCTAAACAAGCATTAGGATTTATTTTGATGAAAATATTGGACCATTTTTACGATCAAAGAGACAGTCAAAGAGTTACGAGCAACGTGACGGTAATAGTGGAACGGACGAAGAAGAAATAACGTAAGAGTAGTTTCGTCTCGGTCTCAGTTCTATCGTTCTGTTATTCATTCATTCCACTATTAAGAAATAAGAAAAAGTATAAAGAAAAAGAAAAGAAAAGATAGAAAAGTGTACAGTGTGTATTTTCAAAACAGTTCAATTATTTCTTATACTGAAGAAGGAAGTAGATTTCTTCCGAAACGTCTTTGTATTTAATTTTCAATCTAATTTTGTTAAATAAATTAAAACACGAAGAGTTTATAATCACAAAACTTAAAACCTGATATTATTCACGTCTTAAATAAATTTTTCGTTGTCGAAAAAAATTAAACAAGATACCATTAGGAAAAAAAAGAAGCTAATTTTTCGAGTAAAACAATTATTGTGACAGCAAATTCCGTTAGCCTAGAGCAATTTTTAGCACATCTTGTAGAGAATAAAATTGTCTACAAAATACACACTATTGTAGTTCTTTGAAATAAAACCTTTGCAATACAGGCTGAAAAATGCTCAACAATGAGTAAATGAGGATTTCCAGGCTCTTGTCTCATAATATTAAAAAATTCAAGATTCACTCAGCAAACTGGAGAAGAATTAAGAACATATTTAGGTTTGTCGACTAAACATGATTATATCATCGACAAAATTAAGAAATCATATTTTGGTTTAAAGATTTTCTAGAAACTTTTACCATAAGGTTTTGTCAATTCTTTTTTTGTAGATTTTTTATAAATAAAATAGAACATACCTGAAGTTTCCAACTCGTTCTTCGGTTTCCTAAATGAATAGTGAATGTTTTAATATTATGTGAAAAGCACCTGGAAATCCTAATTTTTGTAAAACTTAGTTTTCGCTGGCTATTTAAATATTTTTCTAAAAACAAAACAAACATTTGTGTATAGAATCGTACGTCTAAGTCTCCTCTTTTGAATGCCGAAAACTGGGAGCTGTGTGTGCTTTCTATTAAAAATTATTTAAAAATAGCAGAGTCCATTCTCTTTTTATGGACAGACAGTAATAAAATTATTTACTATTTATTTTCTACGCTCAACTATTAATATCCTACCTATTCGTAAATGATTTTCTTAACATGTTTTGACCTATTGATGATAAAAATTAACCTAGGTCGATGGAATTTGTTGTCATAGTAATTGTTTTACTCGAAAAATTAGCTTCTTTTTTTTGCTAATGGCATCTTGTTTAATTTTTTTCGACAACGAAAAATTTATTTAAGATCTGAGCAATATCAGGTTTCGTTCAGTTTTTTATACTCGTCCCAATGATGTGCAATTGAAGAAAATCAACTGTATGATAATGTCTCTACAATTAAAAGAACAAGAAATACGGAATTCTTCAATTTGTGAAAAAAATTTATTGGTAAGGCGCCCGCAATTCAAACTTTCAGTAAATGTTTTCTTTTTGTTTTTATATATGGTTAGATAGAATGCATCAAACTGAGTAAGAAAAACTGGTTTAGCTTTTGCAAATGATTTTTTTCTGGTTAAAAATTTTGAAAAACTTAGAGGGATCACTTTTATCAGAAAAACGCATCATTTTCAAAACATGCAAAATTGTTCAGTTTCTTTTTCTTTTCAGATTTCGAAAGTGGTTTTTCGAATTCCGCGTAAAAAACTGAGTGTAGAAACGATGTTAAATCGATTTCAACTCAAAGAGTTTCAAGTCAAATATTTTATCGCGTTCGATTCATTATACCACCAGTCACAAAAGTGTGTATCGCTTTTTTTGAAAGTTCTTTCCGTTGCTGAGAAAAGTCTTTTTTTCTAAATCAAAGGCGAAAAAGTCAGAATTCTACTCGTAATTCTCAATTTTCTCCATCAGAACTCATCTTTTATGCAATACAAATATCATATTCGGGATCAGCATCAAAAACTGAGTCGATGAATATGTATTTCTATCTTATCCGATTACTTCAATTTTTTTCGAATTTGCACATTGCAATATCATCGGGATTTTCACCCAAAAAAGATCAACTAAAAATTTCGAAATACACATTAGCTCTACAACTTTTCCAATTGACTTTACATGTACGAATGCTTCTAATAAATGAAACTACATACCTTCTGTTTGTAAGTAATAGCTGAACGGGTAACGTGAAAATGGTGTGTTTTCGCCACAACTGAAAAGCTTTGGTCGTACCTGTGCACAAGAGAATAAATTCTTTTCATCAAAGTATATGAGTCTTTTAGTTTTAACGAAATGACTGTTGATAGGATATTAACATCCAGATGTTTCTGCTTCAAGCACTTGTTACATTTTTACAAGTCTGTTTTACATTCTATGATATTTCTTTTTTAAAATGCATGATGAAACGCCAACACTGAATACATGCAAAAATACTATCTGTACTTGAAGGCAGAAATAAAGATTAATTGCACCGACAATTCGATACTTATTCCGTAATATTCATTATACTTTAGGTAATGAGAAAATATTTCGTTACTTATGTTACAATCACTCTCTCGTTTTCCCTTTGAAATTATTAAAAGTGTATTAGTTCGTTCTTGTATAAAAGCTTTAAGTCAACGTGTGTTTTAGTTTCAGTATTTATTTCACAATCCATTTGAACTCGTCAGGTAATAATGAATTAGGTTTAATACATTGATTTTCGCCAACTAATTCTCTTCTATGCACAAACTTAGATTATTAAGGTCAACATATGACTGGAACAGGTTCTAGAGCGTCTATAATCGGCCCAGCACTTGCGATTGGTGGCTTGTGTTTATTGGGTTTGATCGGTTTAGTCATAGCTGCCATCATTGTTCTCAGTATTATTCCCACGTACACACAATCAAATGCCGTAGAGGGAATGGGAGAAGGTAAATCGTATTTTATAGCTGGAGACGCGTGGTTTCAATGTTAGATGTTGATTGTTATTTAATCTACAATGTTTTTCTCTTAGAATATCGTATGGATCAGTTGATTTTACGGGCTTTTACAGACAGTTCATATGCAGCTAATAAAAGTATCGCTAACAGCAGTGATTTATCATTAGCGGTAATTTAGTTACAAAAATAGTTATAGCAAGTAAAGTGATTATATTTCTGCTTTTTTAGTGTACAAAAGCGATGCAAAGCGGTGGTGATGCCAGTTTTTATGCTTGTGTAGTCGCGACTATACGCGCGGCAAATGGTACACCTCTAGCAAATGATACAATGAGACGAAAGCGATATACAGCTAGTCTCGTTCTAATCTGTACTGCTAGACTATTTTACAAAAGTCGATGTGTTGATGCCCCACCGAACAGTGCTTACAACCACACAAACACAAGTCTTAGTTCATGCCGAAAAAGACGAATAGCTAAAATAAATAACATATTGAATTCAAGCTCACCTTTTGACAGTACTGATCTGGTTCCGTACCTGACTTATACCGATGGTACTATTTTAAGTATTCTGTATGGACTGTACTTACTTAAATATACACTTTATTCCACGTATGCCGGCATCAGTAGTAAGTACAGTTTCATCCATATTTACTTACAGCGGAAATAGACTAGTTTGTAAGCGATGTAGAAAGAAGAAGTGTTCTGACGCGACTAGATAGATAGTAGAGAACGACCGCGAGTAACATCCAATCCTTCATGACATAGTGGAAATAGACATATAACGTTTCATTTTCTTCATTTGAAGCTGATGGTGTTGCCTACCTCCAACAAATATCCATTGCTTCTATTAATCAGTTAATTGCTTCTCAAACACGATTTAGTACAACAGCCGCCTACAGTAGCTCCATGTCGGCTGGTTAAAATTAATGATGATCAAGTTCATTCTACGATTATAAACATTCATTTTTCATTAATTATTTTTTCAATCTTTTTGAAACTCTGTAGAACCAATACTTGTTTTTACTTTTAAAATTTACTTTTAACTAGATTTTCTTTGTTAGTAAAAGAGAGAAAACATCCTCTCATGTCCTAAACACTACGATTTCGTTACATTAGTTTTCTTAACAATAGTGCATGCTTTTCTTTTGCGGAAAGCATTCGCGTCATTCGCAATAAAGATGATGAAAAAGCTTTTTTTGGTGTTTCCTGCATAAAACTGACATTTGGAAATGTACATGGGACTAATAAGAAAAGATTTTTCGGTCATCTGCTTGTTTGCTTAGTATACGTCTGTATATTTAGAAGGAGTGATTGTGGAAAAACAACGCCTGAAACTTAATCTGTGATTCCACATGTAATTATTTTGTGTACGGAGGCAAATATCAGGTTTGTACTTTGATTGCGGGTACTAAGGTTTCTAGTATAAAGATCTTCAACTATTGTATGATACGCTCGGTATAAATACCGTCTAATTACATAGATAACAGATTCACGTTTATTGCTATGAAGAGTATCTTTCATATATTATTCGACTTATAGATGACAGTGTGATCATTTGAAAACGGCTTGTCCATTTTCCAGTATAACATTTTCAAGGTTAAAAGGAAGTTTCTTTTGCTGATCACGGTTTTTTAGGGTCAGCTTATTTGTCACTTAAGGTGCCCATCTCTCAGAAATCGATGACTGTCGTAGAAAAATTGGCATTGAGTTTCTTGCTCAGCTAGATAGGCTGAAGTCTCCTCTTTCAGAATATGTGTCGCTTCCATTAAAGAACTGGTTTTTTATGAGGTTTTCTGTCAGCCATCTCAGTTTTCTGCCAATTTTTAGCATTTTTTCCTTAGTTACAGTGGGTAAAATAGCGTCATTTTTAGTAGTGAAAATGTTTATTTAGTGCACTCTGCCGTAATCATGATATCTAATATTTCTATCAGATATTCATTAGACTTTCTAGCGGTCAAATAACCTGTATGAGGATAAAGAAAGAAGTCAATCGCGCATGACGTCTCTGGCGCTGCAATATATATGTTTTAAAAAAGTTAAACGTAATTCAATCTGTTATATGTGAATAGAAAGAGCTTTCTTTTTGCTGCATAAATATGTGTCAATCAAATATGTATATTGAACCTTAGATCTGCTGTCACTGTGCTCTTCAAACTTGTTTTAACGAAATGTCTGAAACTGTGTGAAATAGTAACATGTTTTGCATAGGCATGTTCGCTCACCAAACCGTTCGTAACCGAACGGTTTGTTACCGAACGATTCGCTACTGAACATGTTCGGTCACCGAACGGTTTGTTACCGAACGGTTTGTTACCGAACGATTCGCTACTAAACATGTTCGCTGCCGATCAGCGAGCCCTAGCTTGGGAGGGTAGCATGCCTGATCTGGACTAAAGGTAAACTGAATGAAATGGAAGAAACTAACCAGTAAGAAAATAGATTAACTGAAGTATAATGCAAGCGAATGTGTCTTCTACCGGATCGCTACCGAATGTATTGGGACGAAGATTACAAATACGATAGTTTATATTTTTCTCATCAGAGACATCGACGAGCACTCTGCTGACAAACTATTAGGACAAAGTACCATAAACCTTATCAAGATACATTCAAATTAGAGCTCCAACTGTCTGTCTACTTTTTTTTGCACAGTGAGGAAAACCATCTTTTGCATGAAAACAAAGTAAATCAATCTGCTATACAGAGACCACGTTAGTAAATAATTAGAGAGTAAATCAGATATAATGGAAATTCAAGGTACTTTCAACTTCCTGGAATAAAGCAAACAAAAATTTGCTGTTCTGATTCAAACTTTTCTTTACATGACTACCTACGGCTACGGCGTAATCAAGGCTGCTCCTCCGTTTGGTGTAATCTTCACCATTTTTTCTGTTTTTTTCACAAAGATTTCTTTCATGTGTTCCTTCGTTCTCAAGTTCTTAGCTTTGACAAACTATTTTTTTAAACCTTTGGTAGCGATCTGGTAGAAGACACATACGCTCACATTGTACTTTAGTATATTTTCTCACTGGTTAGTTCCTTCAAAAGCTTCCGTTTCATGCAATTTGCTTTTAGTCCAGATCAGGCATGCAGCCATTCCAAGCTAGGGCTCGCTGATCGGCAGCGAACATGTTCAGTGGCGAATCGTTCGATAACAAATCGTTCGGTGCCGATTAGCGATTCCTAGTTTGGGATTGTTGCCTGCCTAGTTTTGCACTATATCAAATCCAAACTGAATACGATTATTTTTCTGTTGTGGCATCTGTTTGCAATTTTCCATTAGAATTATTATTTAATTTATTAGTTTAACCCTTTTAGATGGGAGACATGTATACATCTTTGACATACATACTATATTCCAAGTATACTGAAAATTTCTCATTTTTCGCCAAAAAAATTCCGTTCTCAAACAGGTCATGGCGAACAATAAGAAATTTTCAAAATACTTGGAATATAGTATGTATGTCAAAGATGTATATATACGTCACCCATCATCAAATGGTTAAGAGCATTGTTTTGAGATACATTTTAAAATTAGCAAACACTTGGCTCTGAAGAATTATCCTTCTATCAATCGGAACTACCTGTAATTGGGTGAAACTGAGAGTAGTTCGTTTGGATTTACACTGATTTTCTTGTGATGACATTCTATTTTGATAATATTGTCTGTGTTGCTTGTACACCTGTATCTAATTTATTCATTCATTGATCAATGTTTTCTACTATGCATAACATTTTACGCTTTAAGTCGCACCCTTAGTTTATTCCAGATAATATCAAGCAATGAGATATTTTCTCTTCTGAAAGCTATATAACCTCGTCAGATGTCTCAGCTTTATATAACTATTTGATGTTTATTTGTAATAGAGAAAATGATTATTTGATGACAATACAACAGTTTAACAAACGTCACTATTCTAGCAGACAAGTCTATAGCAAGTAGTGAATAAGAATTTTAACGAATAACACTAGTAAATGAAAAAAAAATAAAAAAATGATTCGATCTACTTTTTAACAACTTTTAATAGCAATAAATGGGAATCATGTCAGGTTATGTAAGTGATCATGTGACTTTTAGAATGAGGATTAGGGAGGAAGAATTTGATCTGCTATACTTCAAAACAGCAGACATGGTCAATTAAAACAAAAATAATGGTTCAGTCTTTAACAGTGAAGTGATCCGCCACCTGGATGTATTCATACACGGCTTCGACGACAATATTCAATTCTTTAGTAGTAAGAGAAACTTCGAGCAAGAGCGTTTTCAAATCAAATGGAAGATGAACTAACTCCAACTGAAAGACCGATCTTAAAGCTGATCGAGCAACGTCAAATAACGAACAGTCAAAGAAATAGTGAGCAATACTCTCTTCTGTTGAATTATCATACATACAGAACATAACATCTCTTAACTTATCATTAAACCAAGGACAATCACTAGACTGAATGGTAACACTTTTATGTGGAATGATTGAATCTGCAATTTGTGATGTCATTTTTTCTATAACCGCTACACTATCATCAAGACTCATTCCTGAAATAAGATTCATCCAATTAATATCCGCCAGTTTGTTGCGAAATTCACTCCAATTTGCATTTCGATACTCATACATAGTCTTATCATGCTGTGTAACTGTGGGTTGGAGTAAATTAAGATTTAATTTCAACACATTATGATCACAAGTGGACGCTAGCTCAGGTAAAATGTCTAGTTCCTTTACTAAGTTCAAGGTATCAACAAAAATTAAATCTAAACACGTTGCTGATTTTGGTCTTGTAGGCTTCTCAGTTATCTGATACAATTGTACACTTTCACTGAATAAATGTAAAATTTTCCCTTGAGAAGTGGAAGGTTTAGCAGAACAACAATTGAAGTTATGAGCGTTAAAGTCTCCCAACTGAATAATATCAGCGTTCTTAGAACATGTATTACTTCTAAACTCAGTAAAAACTGCATCTAAATGGTCAGTATAATCATTCATATCAATCCAATCTGGTCTATAATAGGCTGTAAACAATATCGTTTTTGACAGAGGAAACTTTATCAAGAAAGGTAGTGTTTCAAAGTAAGGATCCTCCAATTTAGTTAAACGTTTACAAGGTAGATTATCTCTTATATATACTAAAATGCCATCACCTCTCGTTCCGATTCTATTCCTACGAAATGGTATCTGATATCCACTTAACAACAATTCTGAATCAAGAATGTTTCCATGTAACCAAGTCTCAACGACAACCACAACAACTATTTGATGTATAAAATGAAAATGTCTTTGGTGTTAAGTAGAGTCATTCTTGAACCGTTTTGAAACATAACATACGATACCAGGGTTACCAGATGCCCCCTCCCCCCATAAGTGGGAGAGTCCTACATTTAAAGATTTGTCCCCCCGCAAAAATCTATTCCCCAGGATAGGATGTCCCTCTTTTCAAGGATATTTTCTTTTGACCGCCTTCAATGAACTTTTCACTTTTGTATTATGCTTCCAGTTCAACAGACCTTGGGCGTTTAGTCATTTTTCTTATGTGAAACCTCCAGGGCAAAAACAGCTGATTTTTCGATTTTCGTCTATTTTTTACCAAGTTTCGATGATTTTTTACCGATTTTTGATATAAACCGTTTAAGGGGGGTTCTCCTCATTCAGATTTTTCTCTAACGTTCCCAGTTTGTAGAGGACACTTCGAAGTATATGTCCTGAAGTTTTTTCGGCTTACTGAGATTATCTGACTGAGAAAAAAATTAATTACTTAAAAAAATATTGTTAAATTTTTGAACAAGGAATTATTATTAAAAAATTCCTGTCCATCCTCCATTCATCACAAAAGCTTAGTTCTTGCCTAGATCGATAGAGAAATGTGTGGAGAATATTTATTACGAGAAAATATGGAAGAATTTTTGTTCTTTCCTTCCTGGTATTGAC